TAAAAATGAATCAACCCATTATGCTGAGTTAAATAAACAACCCAATTAGCTGGGTAAAATTAACCCAACATGTGTTCTGTCCTATATTTATCCAGCCCAACCCCAATTTGGGTTGTTTTTAACCCAGTGTTTTTTTGTGTAATTTTCATTTAACTTTTAAAGTGCATGTAAACGATTCACCAGCTCTCCACAACTGACTGCCATTGTTGTTTTATGATTATTTATATTATAATATTTATAAATATTTTAATTTAATATTTTTTTCTATTTAGCTTTAATTTACTTTTTTATTTTAGTTTTACTAAGTTTCAGATTAAACTTTACACTTTAAACTTTCAAAGTGAATGTAAACAACTCACAATCTCTTCACAACTTACCAGTGTAATTATTTATACTATTATAATATTAATGTATATTTTAAAATTTAGATTTTCAGTTATTATTTTAATTTTAATAATTTTGTGATGTGCTTTTTCTATTTTTATTAATTTCCATTTTTATATTTAGCTTTAATTTATTTTTATTTCAGTTTTAGTAAATGTAGTACTTCAACTTTTTATTTTAGTTCTTAATTTCTAATTTTTTTATTTCTAATTTCCATTTAACTTTAATTTTAGGTTTTTCCATCTTAAATGCATATTTTATTTTAGCTTCATTTCATTTTTAGCTTTAAAACATTTTTTATATTTTTAGTTAACAATAACAACACTGCTTACAGCTGTTACTGTTACATTTCTATTGCTCTAAAAACAACTTATCCTTATCTTATTCTGAATTTTATCACCAACCTCTAACACTTATTTAGGCTGTATCATTACATAGTTCACATTATTAACATTTACTATAAATAAACCAGCTTATATATAACCCGCACTGAACCATATGCAATAGTCATGTACAGGGATTCCCTCCCACGTCATAAGCCTGTTAGGTCTAAGAATCCTGGGAACAAAAGCTTTACTGACATAACGCCACAACAGTGCAAGGTATGCACAAAGCTCATGCCTGAATCTGATGCCAAACAGCAGCGTGAACACGTCTATCAGCACCCTGGTTCCCCTCTACACCCTCAAATCCAGTGGTGCGAATGTTCACTGAGGTCTCAACAATCCTTAGTCAAACTACAGGCCGTTTGAACCTACATGACGCGATGACATGGACAGGCCTGCATTAGAGATCCCGCTGCGGGACATGTCACTGCCCTCCCCTCCTCTCGGCTACTTTACAGAAGCAACAGTTGCGTGATGGAACAGTTTTACAGATGAACAGCAAGCCTGCTTTATGGGTGGCTAAAGAGTTTTTTTCTTTCTTAGAAACAAGGCAGATAAAGTAACAATGCACTGAAAGCATCACACCAGCACCTTCAGGATAGATGAGTGGCATAAAAGAGTATCTGTCCAAAAATAATTTCTGGGATGTCACCAACCCCACTACAGATCATCTAAACCCACTATGGTTCATCATCTGTCAAACGTCCAGAGTTACACTGCTAAGAACGGAGCCTGTTGACATTCAGCAGACACAGTCCGCACTTAGAAACAAGGTTATTATAGTTAACTTAAAATAAGTTAAATTTTTGTCACTTGAAAAAAAAATTATTTAATATAATGTATATATAAACACTTATTTCATTTCAGCTAGTCACCAAAGAAACACTGATTTTGACTTAGTTTATCTCGATTTACTAAAATAACAAACTAAAATAAAAATTAATAGACATATTTAAAACAAAAACTAATAAAAAATTACAAAAGACAACAAAACTACTGAATCACTAAAATTAAAATGAAAACAAAAAATATAAAAATAAAAACTAACTCAACATAGGAATAAAAACTATATTAGTATCACAATAGCACTAAAATTAATAACCCTGCTTCCTTTTTCTTTACAATACAAGTGAAAGCTATGCACTTAGCCTTAAAAAAGAAACAACTATGAATCAAAATAATATATGAGTGTGGATTTAAAAAGATTTAAATAATCATAAAAAACAAATGTTGCCTTGGCAACTAACTGAAATAAGTTTAAGTTGAAATATTAAATGTTCTAGCACTAAAACATTAATAAATTAAAGCTAAATATAACAAATAAAAATGACAAAAGCACATAACAAAATTATTTAAATTAAAATGAAAACAGAAAATATAAAAATAAAAACCATGCGCTTGGCCTTAAAAAGAAATAATCAATCAAGAACTAAAATAAAAAAATACATGTACACATTCATATATATTTATGTGGATTAAAAAATTCAAATAATAATAATAATAATACATTTGTATATAATACAATTCAATGCACTAGTGCTTGAAAAAAAGAATAATTTTGTCAAAGAATAAATATATAAGGCCACATACAAATACATGTACACATTCATATATATTTATGTGGATTAAAAAATTCAAATAATAATAATAATAATAATACATTTGTATACAATACAATTCAATGCACTAGTGCTTGAAAAAAAGAATAATTTTGTCAAAGAATAAATATATAAGGCCACATACAAATGTCATGTTATGGCTCGTTCTGCATTAAATCCTTGGCAAATGATAACAGTAATAATAAAAGTAAATTTCTTTATCAAAATCTTTTATCCTTGAACTGTACGCCATCTTCATTTTGTCAGCTAAGATAAGATAAAGAAGATATTCATTTATTGATAAGAGATTCATCGAGAACACAGTCTCTGTTAAGTCCTTCCAAGGAACGGTCAAGCCAGATAAGAGTCAAAGAGACGCTCCATGGAGTGAACCGGCAAATTCCCATAATTACCTAATCTAGCTCTGGCCACACAAAGCTCATGATAGAGGGACTGACACATAATAGAAGAGTGACATTTCTCAAGTTATATCAAGCCATACAAAGTCTGTTTCCTCACATCAAATCTGACATTGCTTTTGAATAGGGAAATGAAATGACATTTCAAATGACCACATCGTCAAGCAGGACACATGGACAAAGCAACCTAATCATAACAGAGAACTGGAAAAATACTCAAACAATCAGCCACAACCATTTCACCGGCCTTGCTCCAATACTGCTAACTTCAAATGCCACAAAACTGACCTGCACACACTCAAACAACACCTTTCTCCGCTTTGAAAGTGAAAAGCAAAACTATATATTTATATTTACATGCAGAGGAAGTGCTGACTTGTATGCTAATAATGCTATAAAAGAAAAACTGCAACCGAAACGAATGAAAACAATCTTAACCAACACTGCAATATCAATTCATAGCTGATCACAATCTTCACATAAAGATAAATCTGAAGGATTCTCAAATAGCTTTTTATCTTGAAGATCATAATCACAAATGGAACTACAACACACTTTAAAAAAACAAAAACAAAAAAACTTGGGTTACTTTACATAACTGTCATTAAGATAAATATCAAACCTGATTACATTAAGTATTGCTTAAATCATGTACAATCAAACTATTCAATGAAATTGCAATAAAATTAAACTGCATACAACTGCTTATCTAAAGCATTACATAATCTGCGAGTGAATTCATAATTAAAGTTATTATAAAAGTGTTACAATTTCAAGCACGATATATGTTTTGGAACTGTATGTTTTGACCCGGATAAACGCACGCAGTCTATGGCCACGACACGCGCAGTGCGGGTCTCTTTCAGTCATTGGAAACAATCACTCACGAGCTCGAAAACAACGCGATCCGATCAAAAACCCAGTGAAAGCACTCGGTAGATCTGTCACCGATCTTCCCCGGACAGCTGGAGGTAAATGAACGTGAATTTATAGCTGTTATGCTGCTAGTAAAGGTTTTATAGGCCAGGGATCATCGCTGCACAATGACACACGACAGCGGATGGACGGTTCAAAACGAGCTCCATCACAGATTTCACGGATCTCGGCACAAGCAGCTTATGTTACCTTTTTCATTCGCGGTGCCTCGGCCACGGTGCCGTCGTAGTTGACAAACGCCTCGCCGCCGTTCTGCTGCGGGTCCGGCCGCTTCATCGCGGACGCCTGCGGCATCTTCACGGGGTTCGGAGCGGTGGTCACCGGGCTCGGCTCAACCGTCACGGCCGCTGCTGGCGAAGTAGAGTTATTTTCACTCTTCTTCTCCTCTGCTTTAGGTGTCAGCGGAGATATGGCGGGGGAAGCGGCTTTACCGGCCACGTCTTTTAATTCGACCTCGGCCATTTTCGCTGTCACAGCCTGGACTGACATCGCTGCGAACCGCACTGAGCTTTTTTTTCCAACACAGAGAGAAACGACACACGAACGGATACGCACGATGGGATGACGCGCGGCGCAAAGCACTATGGGACACGCAGTTCACGTTACCAGAGCGTCTGTTACGTATCTTGTTACGCATGGATAATAGCTAACGGTAGTAGTACTAATATTAGGGATTTTTTTTTCATTTATTTAAACTTCAAACACTACATTCTATTATTTTCGTATAATAATAACTACTATTGTACTTTTTTTATACCAAACACAACTATAACTTTGACCTCACAAAAAGTACTGTGGCACTACAAATGTACAGCGATGGCAACAGATGTTAATACCATGGTGCCGAATAATTACCATGTGGTATTTAGAAGGTACTTCCAGTAACAGCATGGCTTTACCATGTTTTTATTCAGCTTGACGACTGTAAATTATTTGTAAGACTTCTTAAAACATTTCTTATATTCTCTCATACATTGCAATTGGCATTTTGGGAAATTTAAGTTGCAGTACCAGTGAAACTGCTATAAAATATTAAAATAACACATATATTCTTACCATTTATAACCATTTGTAGGTGGTCAGCACTACCATCCAGTGGTTAACACTGGGAATAGAGTTTAAAAAATATATAAGAACAATGCTGGGCATTTATTAATTTAAAAACCAAGGACAAAAGTGGAAGCTCATTCCATTTCAAGTTTCACTTCAGACACAATATAAAATACAAACAACAAACATTTCTTGTCGAATATGTAATTTGGCATTCAAGATCGGGATCATCTTTCATCCCAGCTCTTCTGTATTTTGTCAAAATAACAGTGAAGAGAAATAAGAAAAGCCCGTCACTGAGAGCAAATAAATGATCATTAAGACTATGTCCTTACCTTAGGCAAGCTGTAGATGTGGCCCTGGTAGACGAGCTGATAATGAGGAGGGTTTGTGCTACTTTGATGAATGCAAAACAGGTTCTCATTGGACACGTCTGTTAGAAATTCACACATAAAATGCCAGAGTCATAGATTAAACAGGCTGTATAAAAAAGGGTTATTATAGTTAATGAAAACATTAAATATAAAATAATATACACATTCAAGTAGTTGCCAAGGTAACATTCATGTAGTTTAGCTTGATTTAACCAAAATGAAAAATTATAAAAAATAAAAAATAAAAAAACTATATAAACATTTAAATATCAACAAAAATGTCAAAAGTGCACAACAAAATGACTAAAAAATTTAATTAAAACTAAAATATTAAAACTAATTTGAAATCTTATTAAAAACTATAACAGTATCTCAATTATGCTAAAATAACACTGGTATAAAACTCAATGTAACGCATAGTCTATGCATACCTGGTTTATCAGGCGTCTGTATAAAATGCTGGGAGGTAAAGGTTTTTCCGTCGGGATACTTAGGATGTGGAGGAAGCCGTGAGTCCAGGTACGTACACAGCACATGCATCAGGATCTGTGTTCGTCAAAGTGTTTGCATCAGTGTAGAGTAAAAGTAAATGCAATGCATCAATATTATTTTTTATGCTCTCATCTAAACTGCAATGCATTGGTAACATGGCATTCAAATGCTGCAAATGTTTGGAAGAACACACAGCAGAATCTGTCGGAAGGTCTGTGTCCCATTTCCGGTTTTTCAGATCTCCTCCTCCATTCCAGCGGAAAGAGCTCATGCAGCCGCTGTGGGCTAGTTCTGCAAGAGCATTGATACAAATGAACATTAGCAGTACAGTAGCATCATCTCTGTTCATGAGACAGAACCACGGTAAGTCTAAATATTTATTATGTTTAATCCCAGTTGTGTATTCTGCTCACCCTTGATTCTCTCCACGAGATACTCCTGGTTTGGTGAGACGTCCAGATACTGTACGATAGCATTGAGGGTGGGGATTGCAGAAGCTTTGACCACAGCAGCTTGTTTGAGACTGCTGATACTGGCCTCTTCACGAAACAAGGGCAACAGAAGTGAGACATAATGGAAACATTTACGTCTAAATATCTTTGGCAGAAAAGACAATTACCTCCGATCTGGAGCTCAGGGCAACCCATCCTCCTGAGCTGACTGTTGACCGAGTCCATCTCTCTGACCAGATTAACTAGAATGGTGTCATTTATCCACTGGAATAAGTAGAAAGAGAAAAATATGGACATAATTTACAGACTATTCACAAACGTCATGGCTCAAAAGAAAAACTTATAAATAAATAAATAAATAATTATTGATGATAATAATAATAAATAATATAAATAAACAATTAAATGTATAAAAAACAATAATATAAACAATTAAATGTATAATAATAATAAAGAATAAATAAATACTGAAACAACAAACTAAATTAATAATAATCACCATTTTACACATTAATAATAATAATAATAATAATAAATTAATTTGGACTCACATTTCTCAGTTTAGCAGTCCAGCTGTCAATACTATCTGTCACCACACGACTCATCGTGATTCTTGCCCAGACCTGTAATAAATTGGAAAAATCTACTTTAAAATACTCTAAAAATAAATAAATAAATAAATAAAAACTTACAAATAATACAAACAAAATAAACAACGATGATTTGATATCTTGAATTAATTTGATCCTCACCTCTTCAGCGGCTTGTTTAGAGCCCAGCTCCGTGTCGTCTTTATGGGCAGACGGTGCCTGTGAACGGCAGGCCGGCTGATACTGAAACTTCCTCAGGCTTTGTGCGTAATCTCCCACCGAACGACTGTAGTTCCAGAACGATGGACTGTGTCTTGGAGATGTTGACTCTGGACTCCCTAAATAAGAAAATATTGCGAAGAAAATGTTGTAGGCCACTGCTTAGCACAGCCACAGTTTGATTCAACACCTTCGTGTCCATGCAGGACTCTTACCCAATTGACTGCGGTGGCTTTTTTCCTCCTCCGAATGTAAAAACTTCTCCAAAGTCTTCAGGTCATCGATGCAGTCCTCCTTGCCTCCGGGCGAATTAAAGACTGACGGGGATGTGCGGTACCGAGCGCGGAGACTGGTGCCCTCTGCTGGTCCGAGGTTGCTTGGGTACGGAGAAGAGCCTGAAGATGGACTATAGTTCAACACCTGCAGACATAAAAAGCAAGAAAGGAAATGCAGTGGGTGTGTGAACAGAATAGAATATCAAAAATACAATTTTAAAGAAGCTTTTTAAAGTACTCAACCTTGCCGAATGCCATGGAGGGTGAGAAGGGTCCTCCTGATGAAGAAGGGCTGCTCAGAGGTGGACTGAACCCAGACACACAGCTGGGGGAGAACTTAGGGCTGGTGCTTGAGGTTCGCGCAGGGCTAAAACTGATTACATTCTGTCCCTGCAGGGGCGACGACTGGACTGAGACTGGAGCTTCTTTCTTTTCTTGTTTCTGAGGTGGAGAGGCTTGAATCCCTGTTAACACAGCAATGAAGGATTAGTTCCCACCAATACCAAAGCAACAGACTAAATATTTTTAAAGCAAATCCGATCGGTTCATTACACAGTCCTTCATCTTGGGAAAAATCTGGCGGTTTGAAAAATCTTTTTATAGAATTACTTATTCTTTATTATGTAATAATAATTTTAATTATAATAAATAACATTTGTTTGTTTGTTATTATATAATTATTGTATTATGCATTTTATTATTATTTATTTTAATCATTAAGGAGTGGGAAAAGTTTTTTCCCCACAAAATCTGTCATTTTCTGTTGCTGTTTGGATGTAGTAAAACCCACTGATGTAGCAGAAAACACCTGTTTGCATTTTCTTCTGTCACTGGCTGTATATTCTAACATTGAAATCAGGTTTCGGCATAAAACATTAATCATCCATACATGTGAAAATTATCTGAGAAATGACTCAAGAGGAAGATGGGAATCATGTCTTTGTGGCAGTTTTTCTGGTGATTAAGTGATAATACCAGACTTCTTCACCTTACAATGGTTGTTGAAAGCATAAGTGCTACTAAATATATCATATTTTGTGAGAAAGTGAGACATGCTAGAGCAAAACAGCTATTTTTGTAATCAGCATTCATTAAGCAATTATGCTACTGGGCAGTGTAAATGCATGCAAGAATTGTTTTTTCAGTGAGAAATGGCATTTTGCATGATTGTTTTTACCCGAAACACTTCTTTCCAGATACCAGCTAACTCACCTGAACCCCTGAGTCCAAGTAGTCGATGTTGTTCTGGACTGACGGTGATCGTGGATGGGGCCATAGTGTACTTGAAATACTTCCAGAAGTCAAAAAGCGCACTGAGACTGAACAGGGAAGCCAGGGCAAGCTCTGTCCAACAAAACCAGTCAGATGAAAAATAACATACCAGATCACTGACACGCTTTGAGCTCTTATTATACACTTACCAATATACCAGATCGGCCAGTAGGTTATGTTGTAGTATCTGCCAAGAAGATTTCCAGACCTATAAGACAAGGTGACTTGGTTACCCATGGTTTAGAAGACACTAAACCAATCACATTAGGGAGTATTAGGGGCATATCTGAACTCACATCTCAGTATAGATCATCCCAGCCAGAGACACATTCAGCATGGCCCATGCCAGGACAACCTGCCGAGCCTGTTCCTCCCTCCTCAGCTTTATGGTCTTGTCGATGAGGGAGGTCATGCCGTCCTTTAATGTCATATCTGCGCTTGATCCTCTACCAAACCATAAGCTTTCATAATAAAACAGAAAGTATAAACAGACAACATCAGCAGCCACATAATGGATTCCAAAGTGATTCAAAACGACTCGAATAAGACTGCAATGCTTTTGTGTGTAAAGAGAACAAAACTATATAATATTCAGTTGTGATTGTGACATGTTATTAGTATTATAATCCATGTTAGCCAGCTATAATGTTCAGCACGAGGAGACTCTCGCACAACAATTAACAAAATACGAAAAAATATAGTTTTTTTATGGGTAAATTGTTTCTAAACTTTACAAAAAGTAGTTTAAAAGGTGATTTGATACATACTTCCTCTGCATCAGCCCTCCATGAACGCGGTAAAGTATGAGGTGTAAAGACAGAAACACTAAAATATATCAACAGAGTGAAAGGAGCAGCAAATAAATTACTGTCGGATGGTGTTTCAAAATAAAAGTCTCTCGGCACAGTGTGGCCTAAACATGCCTCAGATAAGAAAATGATATGTAGTAAAATAGTTAATGGCTTACCCCGACATGTAGATGTGAATTTTTATTCATTTCGTGATAATTGATATGAAGATCGAAAAACAGTTTGTTTGTTTGTTTGTTTGTGTGTGTGTGTGTGCGCACACTCAGATGTGTCAGAAAAGTGCAATTGATTTTCATATGAATTAAAAACCATATGAAGTTTAAAATAATAAAAAAATATTTATAATAATCAGTTATAATACTATATATAATTAATTACATCGTTTTTACATGTTAATGGCAAAGCTGCATATAAAACCACAAACTCCCTGCAACCCCTCTTCTAAGCAGCAGGGGTCAGAAAGACACCGTTCAACACATAATTCCCATTTGAGAATAATTATAACTTTAAATTGAAGAGTAAAGCCTCTTGCTTGAGACCACAGCTGTGTCAAAGATGGAGACGGTTAGGTCTAATTCACATGAATCACCACAGAAACTGAACACAGTTTTTATTTTTCAAATTGAGATTTATTGAATTGAATGTCTGATAATGAATCACCACAGAAACTGAACAGTTTTTATTTTTCAAATTGAGATTTATTGAATTGAATGTCTGATAATTGAAGGTAAGTGTTCTAGGGCAAAAATGAAAATGATGGTATTGCTGAAATGGATATTTTTGGATGTGGAGGTGGAACTTTCAACAAAAGGTGGCTGCTTCAATATAATTCAAACAAAATTAAAAACAATATTTTGTATCTAAACGATGCGTTGCCCCAGTCTTACATCAACCACCTGATAAGAAAATACATTTACAGCTTTTTGGTGAGTGTGTATCTGACAAGTTCATAAAAGAACGGAGGCTTAACCTCAACACAGGCTTAATCTTTTCAATCCTGCTACTCTTCTACAAACTTCCTGACTGAAGTGCTGTGAGGTATTGTGACTGGGCAGGAACATTATTTGAAAACAATAAAGGCGTTTCATTACACAAAGTAATATAATAGCTAGAAAAAGAAGTCAGACAACAGTTGAGTTAGATTAAACACAAATGAGGCAAGACTGTTCATGCAAATATCTGCAAGTAACTGCCAAGGCACTTCATGCATGAAAATAATTGACAGTGTAAATGCAAACAGAAAACAGACATGCAGCCACCATGAAAACACGTTCAATAATTCTGATATAGCAGCAACATGGAAACCGAAATTAAGGTATGCATTAGCTCTTTTTTTCATTTTTCTTTTTCTTTTAGCAGCACTGGAACACAAGTTCAAACATTTACACAAAATAAAGGAATGGGGAGAAACACAAACTGAACTTAAGGATATAATAGCACACAAACTCTCTCAGTGATGGTGTTCAAACAGGTCAAAAGAGCGAACAGCTTCACACTTATTCATTATAAACATTATAGAGCGTTCCAGAAACCACCTGCCTATTTCAATCACGTGCAAAATCTTTCAATCTGTATTCTTCGATTCGCCTCTTTCCTTCCTTCCCTACCTCATCTTTACTCCACCTTCACTACATACTTAAGTGTCCATCTGAAACGGTCCTTTGTGCTCATGAAGCTGTGATGGTCACCATGCATGGATAGAAACAGTTTAACATATATTCATTTATGCTTATTGCATGCAATAACATTCACTGTAAATAATTCCTAAGAATTTCTTGTTTCTGAGAAGTAACTCTTCAGATCATTGTATTAATATCTCTATGATAAGAAAACGGATCCCACTGAAAGGACTGATGGATCGTTCTATCCATTCTGTAGAATAGCATTTTCGTGGGATCACATGCTTCCTATATTATATAAAAAAAATGGCCTCTGGGAATTACTAAGGAAATACATTTTATAAGATAAAAAGCATAATATTTTTAATAATAATAGGTATTATTATTATAATTATTAAATAACCACATCAATTATAATAATAATAATACAGTTGCATATGACAGCCAAAACAGATGTGTGCTCTTTGTTAAGTAATATACACCATACTGCATTATTCAATCATGGTATGAGGCCAATTCAATTAAATTTCAAGTATGTAAAACGCCACCGCCTGCGGATATGAGACGGCAGCAGCAGCTGTTTTGCTCCGTTATAAAATATCAAGCTTGCGTTCATATATTATGCGCGTATAACCATCTAATGTGGCTTTGAAATTCAATTTACATACAGTAATATAATGATAACTGAATGTTTTGTAGGCTGAGGAGGTGGATAGGAACAGGAACCGACATCATAAGTTAACATCACGGACATCTGTAGGGGTGCAGGACAGGTTTTGAGATTGCGTCCCTTTGTTGCTGGCTCTGCCCTCCTGTTGCTGTTGATGCTGTTGTTGACTTTCTTTCAGGCTGCTGGTCAGTAACTGCTCGATCTGCTCTTGACATGATTTCAGACAGTCCTAGAAGAAAGAAATAGAAGAAGAAGAAGCAAGGTAAGCACTATGCACACTAGCTTCAGCCTCAGAAGGCACTGCATACTGACATACACTCGTAAAAATAAAGGTTCCAAAGCGGGTTTTCGCAGTGATGCCATGTACCATTTTGTGTTTCCCAAAGAACCTTTCAGTGAACAGTTCTTAAAAGAACCATTTTCTTTCTTAGTGTAAGGTTCTTCACCATCGATTCCAATAAAGAACCTTTCACATCCATGGAACCTTTCAAAGTTCTCTTAAAATTAAAGGTTCTTTATTGGAATCAGATTCAGAATGAGCTTTATTGCCATGTTTGCACATACAAAGAATTTGTTCTGGTGACAGAACCTTCCAGTACACAGACAACAACACAGAAAATAAGAAATAAAGATATGTGAATAAAATACACACATTTACAAATATATACATATATATATATATATAAACAGAAATAGACAAAATTTGTATGTAAGAAGGCACTGCATACTGACATACACTCGTAAAAATAAAGGTTCCAAAGCGGGTTTTCGCAGTGATGCCATGTACCATTTTGTGTTTCCCAAAGAACCTTTCAGTGAACAGTTCTTAAAAGAACCATTTTCTTTCTTAGTGTAAGGTTCTTCACCATCGATTCCAATAAAGAACCTTTAACATCCATGGAACTTTTCAAAGTTCTCTTAAAATTAAAGGTTCTTTATTGGAATCAGAATCAGAAAGAGCTTTATTGCCATGTTTGCACATACAAAGAATTTGTTCTGGTGACAGAAGCTTCCAGTACACAGACAACAACACAGAAAATAAGAAATAAAGATATGTGAATAAAATACACACATTTACAAATATATACATATATATATATATACTTGATGTACTAAAATACAAATTAATAAAAACTATATAGACATATTAAAAAAACTAATACAAATTACAAAATAAAATTTCTAAAACATTAATTAAAATTAAAACATAAAATAAAAATCTTTTGAAAAAAACATTTTTACATTTTATGTACATTTTATGTTTTATTAAAAAACTAAATAGTATTTCAATGCTGCTGCTTGAAATAAAGCTTTTAATCAACAAATGAGACCTTAGATGTGTCCCATCCCAACTTCCTTTTTCAATAGGAAATACATACAGAAGAAATGGGGTCATCAGGAAGTTGTTCTTTCATAAAATGTCACAGAATGAATGGATTACTGTACAACTAAACAAATAAACCAGGGCTAATCCTTGGTTAACCTCTATCTTGAATGGTAATTTGCTATATAATTACTGAGATTTTGTTTCACTTTCTTTTTACAGTATGATGATGCTGGACACTTACCACCTCAGTGTGGGTGATTTTAGCCAGCAGCTCCGTCAGATTGTCCCCCCACAGATTTTGATTGCTCTGGTCAGGCTGGAGGCCACATACTGCTGCCCCCACACATCCTGTAGCGATCATGGAGGGAGGGTACATGGTGAAGCTGTGATCTGAGGAAAAAACAAACACACACACATCCCGAAACATCAGTGACCTGGTCAGTAAGTTCCCTAGAACATTAGTCACCTGTGAAACACTTCAAAACAACTTCCCAGGAAACAGCTGTGATAATGCAATCTGATTGAGGAGTCTTACTATATCTTACATCTGTTTTGAATTCCACGCAAACCTGAACCTGACGTTCACATGCTCTCTGGTTTCAGATCTGTTTTAACATCGCTACCTCCCTTAAATTGTCCTGCAGCTGTGAATGAAAAGTGAGGAGAGCCTTCCTTCTCCTCTCACTCCTCCTTCCTCCCTCCCTTCATCCCTCAGAGGGTATTGAGGTTTCAAGGAACTACTCCCCCTCTTCATCTGCCTTGAGATCCTGAGAACGGGCCCTCTTGGCTATTCTGTGCTGGAGTCATTCGTTTCATCTGCTTTGTTGGTGTTAGCGTGCTGCTTATTTCAGGACGCAACGGTCATCCTTGAATAAACACCCTACACTCGACTGACTGCCACAGTACAGCAGCTGTGCAGTAAACCAACATTCCTCACTTGAGAAAATTGTTAAAGGCACTGACAAAAAACACCAAAAACCTTTGCAATAGCTCAAAAAAGCTCCTCCATCTTGGCTTGTGTTCAGGCCTCAGCCTCTTGAACAGATGCAGGGCCGCAGAAACACACCCAGTTAAATATACAAAACTTTTATATAGACACAAATAACAAGGCAGAAAGTATTATAACACATTCACATCATAAGCACAGTACTGGCTATGTTTCAGCTTATTCAGACACATTTCTGACAAATGCAGTCAGCGCACTCATCTCGGGTCCTACCTGTTGCACAGAGGGTGATGAAGGTTTGCGCGTGTTTGCGGATCAGCGTCAGTCTGTCTTCGGGAAAGGGCAGTTTGTGCAGGATGTGTTCAATAAAGTCAAGTGGGGTGATGGCAGCCAGGTTCCATTTCAATTTACTAAGAACCACCAACTCCCACTCCAACAGAGACAGAGAAAGACAGAAACAGAACAAGAGATAATGAATACGAGTGGCAGGACCACACA